CTTTCAATCAATAAATTATATTTAAGTGAGCACATGGTGGCAGGTGGGTGGTATTGAACATATATTGAAATTTGACAAAGTAAGCATGACGGGCTATTAGTTTGTTTCCATGTGACCAGAGAGTTTCTGGGAAGGAAATTTTGAGGGACCAACTTATCATGGGCAATCACTGATGGTTAGAGACAAGACTGGCAATTTAGCAAGTTGACCATTATATAAGTTGTCAAAACTCCTTTTTCTAGCAATTTTTCAAAAACAATACTTACCTTTTACAATCTAAATCATTCAACTGAGATGAAAACTTAGCAAACATTCCTTGTTGAAGCTGTAAAAAAGTATCATTTTCGTATCATCAATTTTTAACAATTGATAAATCAAATAAGTATATCACTCAAAAATGCGTTACTTTAACATACATATAGATTCTGACATTGGTACCAGAGATTTATCCAATCAAGATAGTTAAATTATCAATTTCAAGGTATGAGCCTGGGCATTATTATCTAAGAATCAGTTTCTCTAATAATTATCAAATAAATTTTATCCTTGATTAATGAAAATCCCCTTTGAGTGCCTTCCACATTCCATAAAGTTGTCAATTTCTCTAACACCTGTTAACACATTTCGATGCATCAAGTGAGCGGATAAAGGTTATGACCCTTAAATCAGCCAATCATCTTCTAAGATCATCGGCAACCACACATTGATTAAATTTTTTTATACAATGGGTCCAGAAATGGTTAAATTGACAAAGATTTAGAGAAATTCTACTATCAGCTGAAAATAATAATATTTACTAGATAAACACTCATTTCATGTATATGTTTGAGCACGGTGAGTAAACAAAGGAAAGTTGAACATGTGCACATTAAAAAGAAATATAAACACAATATTCTTATAAAACTTAAAAAATTTTGATCTTAAAAACATTTAATAGTCTGAACTGACCACAAGGGAAAAAATTCCCTTTCCAGTAATTCAGTGTATATTTTTAAGTAACAAGTCAACATTCTGAGATGGAATTTAACATTCTAGCTCATAAAGTAACAGTTCTCAGGAAGACATGCCACCCTACCCATACACATTTTCTGACTCCTAGCCAACCACTATTTACACAACCTATTGCTTTGTAGCATAATTCTAGCAGTAGCTACATATGGAGTATATATCATCCAGTTGATGAGATATTCCAAGACATTTGATTCCTACCATAATTTTTTAGATTATAGGGTTGTTGCTTTAGAACTAAGGTTTTTTTATGTTAAAGTTAATGATTTCTTAAAAAGTTTAATGGATGCCAACATGATTTGGTTGATTGTTATGAACTATCTGTGTCATAGATAATTAGTTTATATCACTTGTATGTTCCACTTGTCTTATCTTCAATTCCTTCCTCTTTCCTAATTTAGGAAAACCCAAACTTTGTCTTGTCACAAGATTTTTACTTGACATGACTTACATGACAGGTGTCATTAATGGAGCTAGAACTGATTACCCTTTTTAAGCATTTGAGTTCAACTAGGTTTTTTGGTTAGATTGGTGTTGCTCAATCATTATTTTTCTGTGTATAGCGTTAGTGAACTGAAGTCAGCCTGTTTATCTTTTTTCATTTACCAATGGTGTTGACTGTCTATCTTGTACTCTTTTTTTAAATTATGTTTTTATAAGTCACAACTAGACTTTTCTCTAAGAGCAGACACAAAAATAGCTTACAGCAGCTTGCCTCTCTTGGTATAATTCATAATATTTTTTGGCATGTTACTTATAAATTCAAGCCTTTTAACTTATTCAGTAATCAAAATGCATTTTGGTTATAAAATTCATTTTTAAAACTAATGCAATATGTATAGATTATTTGGTTGTCTTACACATTGATATTATAAAATATCAGCCAGGAGCCACGATGTGAAACTTTTTGGCAAGTTAAGAAATTGCATGATCAAAAAGCTTTACATTGTGTTGACGGCTGATATTTTATGATATCTATATGTAGAAAACCTGGTAAACTGTTTATTGTTCTATTCTGCTCTTTTTTCCCTCCCAAACGTAAGATTGATAACGTCTCCTCACTCATTGTGACGTCACTGATAACTTCTCCTCAGACATTGTGACATCGATACTCACCTCTCAAAGCCTTGATATGAGAATTACCAAGTGATAAAGATGGGTGATATAGGCAAAAGGACAGACGATAATTCAACTTACATAGACCCAACTTTCATTTGCTGAATTGTCACCTGATCTAATGAAATAATAAATTGCACCAAGCAGAATGTCTGTTGAAAAATGTTTTACATCTAGTTCCATAAAGAGGTCAGAGCTCAGTGATGCCACAAAAGTCCTTGGCAACAGAAAATCAAAATCAAAATATGGTATCAAAATCTGTAGCATATCCTTTGTTGGGCTGAAAAATAGTAACAAATTCATTATAAACCAAAAACAGTTTTGTTCTAAAACGGCCCTGCATCAATGATGTGAAATAACTTGACATATTAAATTAAATCATGTACTGTAAATTCAGAGGTTTTATTTATTGCGAATAATGCGACTGGGTGAGTATTGCAATAATAAGAACTTGCATTCTGATATCCAATGTTTAAATCAGTATGCAGGTTTTTTTTAAATCTAAATAATAAATTTCGCATTTTTGCCTTCTCTTCAAAAATCGCAAAAAAAAATGCATACAATAATTTCTGAATTTGAAGTATTAAATAGAACAGTCCCAAATGATTAAAAGAAACAATCCAGTATACATATGCGAACAAAAAAAAATCAGCTGATAGTCTTTATCCATTTGAAAACATTTTTGGAAAAGCATCTTTTACATACAAATTTTCAAAGTTTATTGAACAGGTCAAATATAACGATTATGAAAAAGAATTTGTTCAAGCTTTGTTAAATTCAATAAAGGTTTGACAAAGTTATTGATGTGGAAAAAACTTTAACCATGGAATAATACCAGGACACGACAACTCCCTGTTGTGACTTTTTCACAGGCAAGAGAAAAAGAAATCAAACTAATCAAAGTGCTGGATAGCATCTGTGGAAAGTTTGCAACGGTAGATGTGTAATATTTCAAATAGGTTGTAAATGTGTAGATTGGGTGTTTAACTTTTTTCCGACTTTAAAAAAATTACTTCATACAAGAAATAATTGTAACATGATGCTGTTACGAAGTCTCTAAAACAAAGCTCCCATAATAAGTCATTCCCAGGAAGGTGGTGGGAGTGACCCCAGGGGATTCGCCTTTTATTTCATTTGATTTGTTTTATTGTCCTATACAAGAATATATATGGTTTTGGGGTGGGGATCTTGACCGTTTAAAAGTTCTCAAAACAGGATGGGGTGGGGGTGACACCCAGGGACTCCCCCTATATTTCATTTGATTTGTTTTATTTTCCCATACAAGAATATATATGGTTTAGGGGTGGGGATCTCAACTTGTTTACAAGTTTTCTAAAAGAAGGGGGGTGGGGTGACCCCTGTGGACTTCCTCTATATTTCATTTGATTTGTTTTATTGTCCCATACAAGAATATATATGGTTTATGGGTGGTGATCTCGACCGTTTACAAGTTCTTAAACAGGAAGGAGGTGGGAGTGACTCCAGGGGACTCGCCTTTTATTTCATTTAATTTGTTTTATTGTCCTGTACAAGAATATATATGGTTTCAGGGTGGGGATCTTTACCGTTTACAAGTTCTCAAAACAGAATGGGGTGGGGGTGACACCCAGGGACTCCCCTATATTTCATTTGACTTGTTTTATTGTCCCATACAATAATATATATGGTTTAGGGGTGGGGATCTCAACCGTTTACAAGTTCTCAAACAGGAGGGGGTAGGGCTGATCCAGAGGGTTTCCCGCTATATTTCATTTGATTTGTTTTATGATCCTGTGATCATTACTGAAAACCATGTGTGTCTATCACTTACAATTTTCACGTTATAGTCATTTGAAAATTTAAAAAAAATAAATCCCATAGGGTTCTCTAGTAAATCCCTCCCTTCTGTTGGCCCCTCAAAATATCCCTAAATAGACCTCAAGAAGAAAAATAATAAGAACTGAGCAAAACAATAAATCTCCAAACTTTGTTTGGGAGACTTAATAGCAAGTAGTATAATTACGAATTTTGTTATAGTCCAATTTTCTGATGCCGATTATGTAATAGACTGAATTTATTATAGTCCGAGTTTGTTGTGGGCCGAGATGAGATACCAAGATACTTTCGATACACTCGGGCTTTTACGTCTTTAATAAACATTGTAAAAATCGTAGTGAGCGTCGAAAAACTGTTCATTCATGAAATATTTTAAATACAGTATTTATTTTCTCTTCAACCAGAGGACGGGAGGAAACCCCTGAAACAGGGATTATAGTACTCCCGTTGATATGGATCTCATACATGTCTGGGGAATACAGATAAAAGCATGTCTCATGTAGATGTGTATTGATTTTACTTTCCGCGCAGCGCAGATCCGCGAAGTAGTGTTGGTGATAGCCAGTTTCAAAAAGAAGTTGAATTATTTGAATTATCAATGAACATTCAATAAATTTTAATTCAAACTGTAAACTAATCAAAATAGAAGTAACTCAAAATTTCAAAAGCATCTTCCTAGAATATTTGTCAAACACCAGTACTACATTATCTAGGAGTAGAACACACATCCTAATGTAAGATAGTCTGTTACTTCCGGTTTGAGGCCGATGCCTTAGGAAAGTTTTTGCTATAGCAAACTTTCCAAAAATTGATCACTATTTTGTTTTTCTCATTGCTCCAAAAAATATCAAGTGATTCACATATCAAATGATAAAATTACATTTAACAACCTGATCAACATAATGCACCATCACTCACTGGGCTGAAATGGACAAGATGAGCTCATTAAAATCAATATAACAAACCTATTCCATTTCCCTTTTGATTTAAAGCTATTCAGTTCATTTTCAAATGAATCATTTCCCCACCACACTGGCTTATTATCTTTATGATTAACATCTTCAGGAACATGTTGGTAAGGTTGATACCTTCCCTGCAGATAATGGAGTAGTGGTATGCCACATAACCAGATAGGATTGTTGCCACTTTTCATCAAATCTTGCATCTGAGACAATAGTCTTGATGTTACAGCTCTGGTAAAATACATAAATATAAAACTATTATGGTTTGAAGTTCTTAAGTACTATCAATTAAACACAAAGAGAAACTAACAATTGAACATAAAGAAATTTAGTGCTCAGAGCAGAGCATTTATTATGTTTGAAGAATTTAGTTATAATTTGAGCTTGATGAATGATCTAGACACTCGGCTATCATGAAAGAATTAAAATGTTATTTTGATTTTATTGTTCATTCTTAATGACAATTTAATACATAGTATTTCTTATTATATATATATATAAGTCTAGAGATTTGCACAATGATACTTATATAAGATGGTATTATACGAAGATGTTGTTATTAAATCGTGTTGACAAATATTTCGGCTTAACAAATAGCCTTCTTTAGTGTCAATTATTTTAACAATATTTGTCAACACGATTTAATAACAACATCTTCGTATAATACCATCTTATATAAGTATCGTGCAAATCTCTAGACTTATATAATTTTTTCCTTATCTGTACAGTATCATCTATTTTAGACGATCCGGTACATAGAAAATTTGCTGGTTGGTCCTTTTTATAGACTTCTATATATATATATTCAGTATACGATTCCATTGCAATTGCATATGTAAGAAGTATTCCCATTCAGAATTTTCTTAAAAATAAGCTCTTGATAAAATTGATGTTAATTACTTTGAAACATCTATGCAGTAGTATGAAGATCCTGCTTCCTTTACACCGATATTTATGGCTTAAATTTTTTCCATTTAGCAGGGAAGTAGGAAGGGCTATGGGACACCTGTGCTGTACAAGAGGACTTAATTAATGTCCTTGATATTTTTTCAACATACATTTTTTAAGAAATTGACCTTACACAAACATTTACAAAATTAGAAACAAATGAATTGATACTGACAGAATAGCAATATGATATACCCTTATCATCTGCCTGCTTTTGCAGATTGGACAAAAATATTAAAACCATCGTACATTTTTTATTAAAATGAAAAAAAGAAATTTCATAAAATGTAAAAAACACATACTTGTAAATTTCCGGTGGAGGAAAACATTTCTTGAAGTCTTCAAATTCTGGACATGATTTTTTATTTTTGTCCAGTTTTGGTAATAAGGTTTTAAAAAGGAATGTGATCTCTGTTGGGCTTAGATTAATCTTATATTTGTCTTTAAGATGTATAACTATCAGTCCAATATAAAGCTGAGATTTTTTGTTGTCTTTGCTTTCTTGCAACCACTTCACTGTTGAAATCAAATACTTCTCAAGATACTGAAAAAAATCAATATATGTTTTTTTTAACAACAAAAGATTAGTGCATGGCTAATTAACATCAATTACTAATAGGTAAAAAAAAACTATGCAAAACTTTAATACTGTATTTAAGCTTATATAGTCTGCATTTTCTCTCTCCAAAATTAACATTGCTAGGAAGGGGTGCCGATTATAATATGCAATTTTAATTCAATACAAGTACATGTACTAACTGATAACAGTCAAAATTAAATGCTTCATTTCATATTACTTGTTTCTTTTCATAGCATTGCATAACATAAACTGGACTCTGCTTGTATTTACTGGAAAGAAAAAAGTATATAAATCAGTCGTTAACTAGTTTATGCATTTCAATGTATAAAATACAAAACATAATCGGTTTTATGTTCCATGTTGGTGTTTCATACTGACGCATGTGTTTTGTTTTAGCTGAAGATCATTCAAACATTAATGTAATGGATATATTTAAAAGTATTTAACTAAAGAACGGAAATGTTTTAGTTTCAAAGTCGTATTCTAGTAATAACTAAGAAGTATGGATTTTCCGCACACTCTCGCCGTAATTATTTTTCGATTTACACATGCTATACAGTGCTACACACAGCCCTCAAATTGAAAATTTGTATACAACTACTGTTGAGATAAAAACAACATAAAACTCAAGTGGCTGTCAGCATTCATTTAGTAATGACATTTATCACATTTGTAATGTTATCAGTAAAATTAACATAACACAGGTGCTAGAGTGATAATTTCTGCATCCTTTGTGATTGTAGTGTGTATACATGACTGGATGGTATTGTTTTTAAAACATTAAATATAATTTCAGATGTATTATAATACACATTATATAATTCATAAAAAATTAAATCATTTCATGACTCTTCATCTTTAAGAGATGAAAAAATTCAACAAACAATAACTGCATAATAATGTGTATAATTAATATGCAAAGTTTAACAGCAAAATACAGTTTTATAATTGAACATACATATTTTTCACATCTGTATGGCATTTGCATTTTCAAGGTTTATCTTTTCAGTTATTAAGTATTAAACTACTGTAAAACCAAAAAAAAGGGGGGGATGAAAAATAAAAATAATAAAATATCATTTAAATTGTACAAATGATTAAAATATCCATATGAATACAAGGATTCACAATTACCTGTAATTCATTTAAAAAAGTACACTAAGGCTAAAACAGAATCCCCTTCCTTTGATAAATCAGGACAAATGCAATTGTTCATATTAGAAACAATATTCTTATTCCTAGCTGACCAGTTTTTGCAGTAAATGGTAAATTCTTTGTGCTTAGCGGAGAAGCAGCAGATACTTATCCCTTTTTTCTTGATTAACAATGAGAACTACCTCCCATTATTTGAATCAAAGTGTAAAGACACTAAATCCCAGGATTAAGATTTCAGTATATATGTATATATAAATGTAACAAAAATACAATTTACAAGTTTTTCAAAAAGTACAAATGAAGCAAAATCAGCATGTGCAATGAGTATAACATTTGTCATTATATAAAGGAAACACTCTTGATAATGCATCGTTTAATGTCTCAATTCTTTTTGGGAGTTGATGTCCTGTTTTGAACTTTTTTGCGTCTTCCTTTTTGTGGTGTTTCATTCTGCTTCCGTTTTGACGCTTTTTTCTTTCTTGTTTGTTTGGCCAAATTTTTTTCCAACAAAACATTTGATGGAACTATTATCATACTATTTATATCTTCAACATGAGCTTCTTCTCCAAAATCGAATTCAATTTCACCAGAAACTGATTTTTTAAGACAACCGTCAGCTAAAAAATTAGGAAGTCTAGTATCAGCAGTTCCTGCGGTCATTAAATATTTAATATAGCAGATCACGTTTAAAGACAACCTTGTTATCACAGAAGATGCTGGTAGCCACAATTTTGGATTCCTATTTTGGTTGTTGTCTTTGATGGTTGGAACTTTAATAGTAATTTGCCTTACTTCCTCAAACGATAGTTCAGAGTAGTTATAAGCCTTGGGACAGTACAAAATCTTCATTAATTCTACATACAAATTAGAGTCAAATTCAACTTCAATTTTATTGTTGTTGTGCTGTACTTTGACTAAGTTTTCTCGCAAGTTTTGGTTTTTCATAATAGTCTGTAAGATAGCTGAATGTGATATCCCATAAAATTTTGGGAGAAAGTCATTTCCACCAAGTGACAAAAAAATGGACATTTTGATTCCAATGTAAGGGTCATTCCAGGCCTGTTCAAGAATCTGGAGGATTTCTGTTATATTGTATACATCCATTACAGATCCAGGTTTTTGTAAAACAATATGCACAGGATGAAGATATTTTCCATCAACTGATCGTGGCCACATATATGAAAGTGTAAACATGTGAATTGTGATTGCATCAATGTCGCCTGATGATAGAAAACTTACACAAGACTTGCCAGGTTTTAAATCTGGAAGGTATTGGAGGAGCCAATCTACTTGCGCCATCTCTGCTTCCCCTTTGCACTGTTTTATATCTTCTAATGTATGAATTGATGATTCTCCCAAAAGACTAAAGTTATACTGAATAGGGCTTGTATATATTTCGCATTGGCATTCTTCCGAAATACAGTTACACTGTGACAAATGGAGCTCACTATCAAAATCAACGACTATATTTCTCTGGAACTTCAGGTCTGCTGCATTACTTGCCAAATATGTACTTATCAAACGTTTACCCTCAGTTGTTGTTATAATTGTTGTCTTGTCAAATTTTGTTGCGCTCAGAATTTCTTCTTTCGTTTTCAAATGTGAAATTGGATAGGTTTGTGTCTTCTGCCTTTGGGATCTTGTTGCAGCTTTAAACTCATCTGGTGTAAAGGTATATTTTTCCTCACACACTACTAAACGTTGGAGTGAAGGAGCGATATTTAAAATCTTGTTGATAATGGATTTTTCAACATATTCTAAGTAGAGTTTCCCATCTACAGAGCGTGTCTTAAACTTTACACCAGCAAACTCGACGGTTGCATGAGTTGCTGCTGAAAACAATGAACTAGGTAAAGCAGTTTGTCCAAGTAGTAGAAAATTACTCAGGTCAGCATTATGTTCACTGGAGGTCTTGTTAATTATAGATAAGCTGTGTTTTATTTCATCAAGTAAGGCTTTTTGAATTCCAGTTGACTTCTGAACTTTGGGTTTTGAACAATCAGAATTCATAAATGCCTGGCACGCATTCATTTCTGAACTTAAACTATCTACTATTTTATGTTGTCGGGTTACTGTCTTTTTGCGTTTACTTTCTTTGACATCCCTTTCACTTTTGATCAGTGATTCTTGCTTTGTACCAGTCCTTCTGATAGTAACACCTTTCGTAACCTTCAGTTTTTTCAACAGTTCTTTAGGACCTTCAATTGTCAAAACATCTGGGATATCACACTTCTGGTATCCAAACAATTCAAAGGATGCAATATATTTTGTTATCAAGTACTTTCCTGCTTCATATGTAGCTGAATCAAGCATTGTCTCGGGCAAAATATTTGTTGGCATTGAATAAACATTTACAACTTTAATGTCCTCGTCTGTTGATAGGGCATTCTGTCGAAGGATCAAACGTGCAATTCTAAGGATATAGTTAATGTCAGTTTGGTTTAATGAAAGACCAAGTAAATTGTTCCGCTTATGAGCACTACTTATTTCATCCCTAGTCTCATTAAAACTTTTTGTACTATTGCTTGCATCATGGGCTTCATTTAAAGAGTCTATTAAAGCCATTCTTGGCACAACAGATGACATTGTTGCTCCAGATCTAAAACTCTTTAGAACATCTTTGTGGTCTAGTTCTCTCTGGGTGTCCAAACCAAAACTGTATGGACTTTTCTGATGTGTTGTTGTGAACAAAGCAGCCTTCACATTTTGATAAAATTTACCAGATTTGTAATGTTCGTGTAATAGATTAACTGCATAGGCTGCATATGACGTAGAACCGTTAAGAAATGCAAAAGGTAAAGACATCTTAACTGCTGCTAACATTAGAGAATATCCTTCTGTACCACCAAGTCGCTCAGCAAATGATAATGCACTTATCTCTTCACTGTGATTCAACATTTCAGTATGTAGCATAAATGTAGCATTTTGTGACTTTCCATATTCTAAAAAATTCTCAAATCGATCATTCCATTTCATACAGTTAGCATTCTCATTCTGCAAATCATCTTTCATGGCATTTTGTTCTTCAAGCTGTAAGGTTTTCAAAAATTTTGTAACAAAAGCAACCCTCAGAGCAATGGATAAACGTCTTACGTATTTGGATGCCATGTTGATGTGCTCGGCTGATATGAGTTTTTTCCAGTCATTGAATTCCTCATCTCTCATATATTTTAATATTTCTATAATACCTGCATTCCTGTAAGCAGTACAAAAGTTTGTTATCTTTGATTTACGCAAATGTAGTATTGGAAATTCGGGAAGAAAATTTTGATATTTTTTGGATGAAGACAAGAGTTTTAGCAAATTACTGCCTATTTTGTTGTCAGGAGCAAACAGAATTTTCAAACCACCATGTGCAGCATCATTGGAATTAACCTTTGTCATTATGTCATCAAGTACCTCCCTAAGTTTCTGTATATCGTCATCTCTGCCTGTTGCAGGGGGTGGGTGTCTTGTCAACATCGGAGGTGATTGATGTTGCCTAAATCCAAATCTCCCTGCAACCAGGTCATGGTTAATTGTTGAACTTCTGCTTGTTACCACTTCATCTGTACTTTGTACATTTTCATCTTCATTTTCTGACTCAACAGACTCTTGTGTATTAGCATCGGTGGATTGATCCAAAGGTTTAAAATAAGAGTCCAAATTGTCTAATTCTGTGTCAGATGTTATTTTGATCTCAACATCTTCAAAAATGTTCTGCAAGTAGATTTCTTCTTCAATATCTATCTCTTCTGCTGTTGATGCCTCTTCACTATTCTCATCTTCACTTAAACATACTTCATAATCAATTGTTTTGTCTTCGTCAT